TAAGAGAATTTACAAGAGGCCATAAATCAGTGGATGAGATTATACAAAATGTAAAATATACAAATTTTAAGGGATATGTATCTAGACAATATTGGAAATTATGGGCTTTCAGACCACCATAATTAGGAAATGGTGATCGAAAATCGACCTGTCATTTATTTTTGTCCCCAACTGTACTTTATGTTTTTTGAAAAAAAATATGAATATGCAAATGAGATAGTGTCATTGTGATGTCATAATTCAAGATGGCGCAGTTGGATTTTTTAAAAAATGGAATTATTTTAGCATTTAATTTTTTATTGAGACTTCAATTTAAAAATCTGAAAACACAGAATTATAGATCTTCTTATGCTGATTTCAGTGGTATTTGTACTATGACATAACTCCTACAAATAAATTTTTTAGAGCTTCGAGACTGCAAATTCTCGGAAAATCCCTATGGCGATTTAACATGGGATTTTATCGTTTTCGATACTTTTTCGCGACATGTCAGATTCAAGTGCCTCTAACTTTGCACAGAGTCATCAGATTCAAACAATCTTTTTTTTAAAATGTTTCTACTGGTCAATTCTTTTAGAAAATGCATTATTCTTGCAGTTTTATTGAAATAAGGCCCCTGGAGACCCCTTAGAATAGCAAGAAACAAAATCGATCATATATGATCGATTTTGTTCTAAGGGGTCTCCAAGGGACCCCTGATGATAAAAATGCATGATTTATCAATTTATTTAATCCTGAAGTCTGTACAAACATTTTAAAAAAAAGTTCATGACTTTTCGTTAAGTATTTACAAAGTTACAGTGTTCCGAAGCTGGTGAGCGCGCGAAAAACACGAAAACGATAAAATCCCATGTTAAATCGCCATAGGGATTTTCAGAGAATTTGCAGTCTCGAAGCTCTAAAAAATTTATTTGTAGGAGTTATGTCATGGTATAAAAACCACTGAAATCAGCATAAGAAGATCTATAATTCTGCGTTTCCAGATTTTTAAATTGAAGTCTCAATAAAAAATTAAATGCTAAAATAATTATATTTTGAAAAAAATCCAACTGCGCCATCTTGAATTATGACGTCACAATGACACTATCTCATTTGCATATTCACATTTTTTCAAAAAACATAAAGTATGGGTATAGCCCTTCAAAATGACATAAAACTTATTGGGTGTTGCTTCCTTTTCTTGCTTCTAGATTCATTTACATTTCAGTTTTTCATTTCTTTCCATTTTCCCCAAAATTGTCAGTCATGAAGGAGTTAAGTAAATCTAGAACTTTGGGGGTTTTGAACATTTCATGGACTCTCAGTTCGCCATAAACTAATCGTTAAAGAGGCTCTATACCATAGGATATCACAATCAAGACCCCTCTGGACTTTTTTGCATATTGAGTTTCACCACATTTTCACCCATCTACTTATCATAGAAAAAGTCCCAATCCCCCTCTTTCAGTGTAAATTTTGCGATTGTGCTGGCCAATCTAATTATTTTCGCGGAAATTAATTAAATCTGAAGTTTCAATATACCGGGGAAGTCCTCCTGTTATCTGATTGGTCGTTGAATCTGTTTATCATGAACCTGATTGGGTGCCTGGTTCAAGGCGCTTGTGTGACTCAATGGGGATCCCCCTCCCTAGCCGAAGAATTGATTGTGTTTAATTCTGGAGGTTGGTTGTTCTGTTGATTAATTCAATATTTTGGCAATAATATACCCAAAAGTTATTCTCAAGATATATCCATGGTATGTGAAATATTATTTGAGCAATAACAATAGGACATCATTGATTGTCTGGGGGAGAAACCTATGGTATAGTGCATCTTTAAATAAAAAAACTTCAAATTAGAGTCCATTTTACTGCTTCATTTCGTCAGTAGAACGGCAAAAATAAGAAATTTGGAGACCGTTGTGCAATAATATATGGAAAAGTATATTCATAATGTACATGAATGACATTTGTATATCTTGTATTGCTTCTAGTTTGGCTTATAAAGTGTGTGGCCTCTTATATTTGGATGTTTCTCTGCCATGTTATTTTCAATAAGATTAACATGACTGAAATTCTTCAAATTACAAGATGGCACAGGCTTATTGCACAAAAAACTAAAAAATCTGAAATATACAAATGTCATTCATGTACATTATTAATATACTTTTCCATATATTATTGCACAATGGTCTCCCAATTTCTTATTTTTGCGGTTCTACTGACGAAATGAAGCAGTGAAATGGACTTTACATATGCTTTTTCAAGTCTACTTAAGTCTGTACCCTTTAGGCCAGGGTTAGTATGTATCCAACAGACTGAATGAGATTCAGTCTGTTATGATTGATATCCTTCGCATGGAAATCTCGGCGATATTTTGTGCTCATAAATTTCTCGATTATTACAAGAATGTTCACCATGAAAATTGGTAAATATGTTGAGGAAGGGGAAGGAGTGATTCAATTTCGAAAAATAACATGTGCCCCTATTGAGGGTTGCAGCAAAATTCTTAACATGCACGCTGACCTGAAGTAAAGTAGTACATTGACGTGTGGGGCATAATGTCAACATGAGAACACGACACTTGTTACATACAGTATATCTGTTTTCCACAATGTTGGATTTCAAATGAACAGAGTCAAGGTGTCGAAATATTAGAATTTTGAAATTTTATTACATGTTCTCAGAAATTGCATAACATCACTTTAATACAAGTGTATCTCTTATGTTTTCAGGTCAAAGCTGGTCTAGGGTTCTTCATGATTGCAGTGACTTGTGCCCCTGCTGCTTACATACTTGCACAAATTGAGAACTACAAGAAGCGCGATTAACCATAGCAGGACTTAGGAAAATTCACAATGTGTATTATAGAAACTATTAGATAATTGGAGCTACTATTGCCAAAGGCGCACATAAACGGTTGCATGTCAACAGTGATAAATTGATGATGACACCAACCATACTATTCTCAATTCTCTAACTATCATACCTCATTTTACTTTATTTTGTGATATCACAGTTCATTTCATTTGACAAAGGATACGCACACCTATGAAAGGGTAACATCACTTGGGACTTGTTTGGATGACAGATTTTGGGACTGAAGAAACTAAAAAACATTTACACTGTTTGATATTGCACATGTGCATATTTATGTATAAATCTTTTGGATTACAGACTAGAAAATATGACATTTGTCTAAAATTTCATAACTTCCAAGTGTAACAGACTATGCAAACCGCATAAGTTAATTTTGATAACAATATCATATAAATCATAATGTGTGACAGAATGTGTGTTATTACCGTGTATTATTTAAGATTAAATACTTGAAGATGTACACATTGTGTTGAGTTATTGAATGTTGGAATGTTCTAAGGTTAAAGGAGTGAATACATTAGTCCATTATCCCATTCCTTTTTATCACACTTTGGAATGCTGGGTAAATTACATGGTGACCATTTTTCTCTTCAAAATGCGATATTTAGCACAGTGTGTCACAGTATCCCATTTCAGCATTTGAAATAGCTATATTGTAGTCATCTTGTATTGATGGGCTACAGAAGTCTTGCCATCAAGAGGGCAAAAACCTTTTATCAGTTTAGTTTAAATTGGAAATGCAATTGACAGTGATTCATAATGTAAAATGTTGAAAGTAGCTTGCAAAAATTACAAGAATGTTCTTTCTTCCGAAAAAGGATTGAGACATCAAATATAGCCTAAACTAAAAGTAATGAGACTTAGGTCGATGTTTATGAAAAAATATTTCATTGCTTAAACTTGAAATGTTAACAGGTGAAAGAGCATATACTATTGTATGCTGGGTAATTTTTTGAATTTCAAATGCGATATCACTGCAGTGTCTTGTTTCTGTTGTACCTGAATTCTTTCAATATTTTGATTGTAATCCCATTTTTATGATTATATCCCATATATGAAGGTAAGCCTCTCTTTGTTACTTAGAGTAACCTGGCCATGTGACTTCCTTGCTAGCCTTCCAATATCCATATTTGTGGATCAATCCGTCAAATTAAATAGCCGCCAAAATTTCAAAATTTGTACAATCGGCCAAATTAAATAGCGCCAGATGTCAGATTTCACTGTTGCATTTCATTTTCTCTTATTGGTTGGACACTCATCTCATGACGTGTAAAAAATCCTGATATATGCTTGTGGTCCTTACTTTTCACGTTTATTAGTAGAAAAGTGAGTAAGGCAGTACTGATCGGGAATATTTGAAAATCTTTTAAAAGATGAATAGGTAACAAAACAAGTCTGATGTGTTTCGCTTATAGAGGTGTTCCACTTTTTAAGTTTAACTGTATTCACAATGAACTAATGTTGAATCGAAATCACGGTGAGTCTAGAAGCATGATCTCTGAATAACACATGGAATACATTTCTCCAATGTCAACAAGGTATAACCATCTGCCATTTGTTAGACACCAACCGCCTAACACCAACCACCTTCCATAAAAAAGTTTTAAGACTTCAACAATATGTCACCACTTGGAGCATACCTGGTGGTGATATGAAATTTCTTATGAACATAAGGTTGTTATCTCCATTGATTTGAGGATCAAATGTTAATTCATTCATCTAACATATTAGAATCATAAAGCGAAAATCATAACCAATATAAAGTTATATGTAGTTTTGTTTATTTGTATGTATATAAAACTGATAACTGATAACTGATAAAACGGTTATTCAAGGGGGGTCAACGTTCGACATTTCTGGAGACCTTGAACAGTCAGACAGATATTTTTGTTCGAAATTTACTCAAGAATTCCAGGGGTATTTTAAATTTTGAAAAATTGGCAACCAGGATCAACTTGATCATTCACAATATGAGTTTGAAGTTAGTCTCATTCACAGGGGTTTCACTATAAATTCTCACAACAGGCTACATAAATGAAAATAACAGGCAAAATTGATGGAAATCATAAATTTAATGTGGCAAAGTTAAAGTCCTTAAAAACAACGAGCGATTTTGTGAAAACAAACAGTGAAAATCACCTGTTGCCTGTTGCTAATGAAACCCCTGCATTCAGGTCCATCACCTCTTGAGGTCTCCACTAAATTCAAGATGTTCCATAGACTATCCTTTTCTGCGACATATTCTCCTTAGTCACGTTAACACAGCATGGGTTCCATTATAAATATATACTTTGGCAAACTTTTCTGATAGGAGATGATGCAGTGTACATAAGTTAAAACAATGTCCTCATGATAATGCCATATTTACATACAAAGGTCAATATATAAGAGTATACAAAAATATAATTTTTAAAACTATGATTTCCCGAAAGCGAAACCAGCAAGTTTAGAGTTGGTAGATTGTGACAATGGTTTCTTTTTCTTAGAGTCATTTTGTTCAATATCAGTGTCTTTAACTTTGCTGGAGAGTGGGGATGCATCAAGATTTTCATCGTCTCTCTTCCGCTTTTTGTCTGTATCGTTAGGTGTAGATGGAGTACCAGGATTGGGTCCTCTAGCCTTTTCCTGCCATTCCTGGAGAAAAATCAGTAAAGGACACGTGTTAGAAGGTACAAAGTTCTACAAATCATTAACTTTTGGATGGTTACTTGTTTGTGTGATTTTGTTAATGGCATGTTTCTTGTTTAATTGATTTTCATCGATTTTTTATTTTATTGATTTAATAAAATGATGTTTGGATGATTAAACAATACTGAGTCAATTAGTTTTAAAAATTTGTTTTTGAAAAACTGTTCAACTTTAAAGGTGTTCCTTCAAATGCTAATTTATTCTGTATTTGCATGGGGCCTTTAATCACGTGACATAAAGGACTTAAAACATATCTCCTCACCTGACGTTGTTCCTTGCTGAGTTTCCTCCATTCCTGAGTAGCCAGTTTAGTGAGATCATCCTCCCCTGAATAGTCTGGATTTTCCTCCTCTAATGTCTGCTTATTGGCATCTAACCACAGCTGGAATGCTGATCTGTAACAGGAGAATGTTCTTTATGGTAAGTACATGAATAGGTACAAATCAGATATTGTAAGAAATGTTTAACATTCATAAAGTCTTTAGCCAGGTTTTGCCAAATCCCTGACTACAGGACTGGATATGAGCACCAATAACTTTGGAGAAAATGGAGCTATGTGTATTCCTCCATTTGTCTTGAAAATCAAACACCAGTATTTGTCATGAAAATCGAACACCATATCATCCATTTGATGGTTAAATACTTACACTGGTTTTTCAGCAACAGGGGAATCAGTGTTTTTATTTTCAGTTTCATCATTCTTCGCTTTCTTCATTTGAAATATTTTTCCCTGTGCACCTTTTTTCTTAATTATCTTCTTAGGCTGAATGATTGGGCTGGCTTTCTTTGCAGCTGGACTGACCTTCTTCATGGCATCAAACACACTAGTACCCCGCACTGATGTTGGTTGGCTTGCAGACTTAGGGGTACCAATCTTGAAAAATGTATTCATTAATTAGCCTACATGTCGATAATGCTGGAATCCACACTATCAGTTGTATACTAACTTTTCATACGATAATACAAAAATTATGTAAATCAAATATGTAAGACTACAATATAAGCCAAAGTGGTTTAAACTTTACACGGGGCCTTTAAATACAGTATGTAACAACTTCTTAATAATGTCAAACACACTTCTACCCTAAACTAATACTAGTTGATTGACAGACTTTGGAGATTCCATATGAGAAAGATAGGTGTATTTAGAAGTTAACAAATCAATATACATGTAGTAAACATGTATTCCAAATATTTCCCTTACTTTGAAAGGATTTTTTCTAGTCTGTGAGTCGAATCCGTGTGATGGGGTAGCATTTGATGGAGGTTCAACTTTCTTGTTTTTCAGAGTAACAAATGTACCTGAAAAAAAAATAAACATATTTATATGAAGAGGTCTTGTTTGTAGCTGTTTTCATCAAGTAAATATTAAAATAATACTGTGGTTATCACTTTTTATACCTTTATTCTTATTATCTGACACAGCGGTTTTTGAGATATTACATGTCATCATTGAATTTGACAAGTTCCAAAATCTTAACACAATTTTGAGTTGGTTTTATGCATGTCAAGTACAGTGTAGCACACATCCCAGAATTCTATTTTGTGTGTCGCATATAACTTTGGAATAACCAATATCTGTGAATTTTCATGGAATTTGCAATTTCTGTTATCAAATATTGAACTTATTGAAGTTCATGTATACCTGAACAAAGTTGGCTCAAAACTTGAAGAAAATCTAACAACTGTTCCTGAATCAATTATTTTGGAAGGAGACAAAAAGCAGTTTCACTTGTGGGTAAATAATGATCTTAGTGAAGATGAAAATATTCTAATCAAATCAAAACTCTAATTCTAACTGTATAATATTTTCCATTTGTATTATTCCCCATTAATTCCCAAAATACTGAGTAATAAAATATATCCAAATATGGGCTTATTCATACTTTGTTTAGCGTTGTCTGCATCTTCCTCATCCATTTCTTCTTCTTCCATTGTTTCATTATCATCGACTATGACATCATCAGCAGTGGATGGTGCTGTATTACTGCTCCACGTATTCTGGGTTCCCTGCTGACTATTACTACAAGCAAAAGTTTTGAAGTTAGTTAGATGTTTGAGATGAGATGCAGGGTTAACATATAGCCATTTCAAGAATTGTTCTACATGTCAAGTAAATGTCTTAGCCAGTAAGTAAAAATGAATTTTTCATTTACATTTTGCAATGTGGTAGTTTTTTGTAGGTTTGAGACTTAAAAAATATTTTTGACCAAAAGAATTCCTAACTAATCCAGTTCCAAGTCTCGGAACAGAGTTGGGATACAATCCATAAAAATACTGTACTCCTGGTAAATTAACACGCAATAAAATTTCGCGATTTTTCAAAATTGCAATTTCACTGCTATTTAATTTCGTGGATTTGAGTTGATGACATTTCGCGGATTGCACAAGTTGAATTTTTGTCCGATTACCGTGAATCAATGCATATCTGGCTATTTCAGCCCGTTCAGAATCCGAATTATGTTTGTATTTCCCACGTTTAGGGCATTTATTTGAATATTCTTGAATGGCTTTTTCAACTTCAATTTGTGGGATATCATTGAATATTCTTGAATGGCTTTTTCAACTTCAATTTGTGGGATATCATTGTCATCAACAGTTCTTGCCTTTGTTGGCCTAATAAGCCAAATCAAAATGTGACGTTTTAGAATTATCGCCCAACAACACTGGACGAAATGGTTACACCGAACAAACATATCAAAAGTCCCGGGTCAAATCCCCGGGGATTTAAAAGACAAATTTCGCGACGATAAATGTTCGCGATTTTACTTCATTCGCGAACAAGGCGAAATTAAATCACACGCGAACAATACCCGGAGTACAGTAATAAAATATCTTTTTTATTTCACTTAATCGCTGTACTGTAAATGCATTATTAAAAGCACTTCTTAAAAGCACTGGTCTTAAAATCCTTTTTTTATAAAGTTCCCTACCTGGCATTGATAACACTTCTAAAATCTTGGGTATCTTCTTCTATATTTCCCATCATGCTTTGTGCTGCAGCTTCTTCCTCTTCCTGTTTCCGTTGAGCAACTTCCCCGATTCTCTGAGCTAATTGTAAATGCCGCGATTTGGCTGCATATTTTATCGCAAGTTGCAATGTTTTTTGATCAGGCATTAGTTCGCAAATTTCTAGAGCTCTGAATTCTCTGTCAGCTTTGCAGGACAACTGGAAGAAAGATTAAATCTGTTTCAAAATCAATTCTGTCTGAAAAACAGACAAGAAAAGTAAGACGCCCCTCTGCAATTCACTCATCAACCTTATGACAATTATACCTTTCTCTAGGCATAATAACAAAACTTATTAGTCATGTTTCAGCAATAATGAACTTCTTACAGCAAATAGTTTCATAAGTGCCTCCTTTTCTGCCATCTTGGCTTGGTCTCTCTCTGGCTCTTCAAAGTATAAGTTCTGTGATACCCAGTAGTCAAAGTGGCCGCTAAATACTTGAGACCTCCAGTAGTTTTCCTGAAAAACATTTATTTCACAGTAAGATGATATACAAGTAGTGTATTCTGGGACGAATAGAATAATTATGTACTAAATGATCAGATGTCTCGTTTGCTTTATCTCCCAATGAACAAAAATTTCAAATTAAACATTTTCATCATGTCATAGTCTAGGGTGTGCATTTGTCCAAGTTCCCTTAAAAACATATAACTAGACCTCCTTAATATTCAGGCCCGTAGCCAGCTTTTGCCAAAGGTCACTTTTCAAAAATTCCAGGGGTTCACATTTGACAAGTTTGGCCCAAAATCACTCAAAAAGTGCTCAGAATGGTGAAAAACTGCATGGTTTTGGTTTCCTCAATTTCTCTTAAACCACCCTCTCCTGGATATTGCCTACATCTATACAATGTGCTTATTCTTATTACCTCAGCTTGCCCTCGTTCAGACTGGACCTCACAAACAGGCAGTTTGAATGGTAGTAACATGACGGTGGGGCGAGGTAGCGTTGGTGGATATGTGGTGCCCTTGCAGAGGATACAGCGCAACTGTTGGGGACTCTCGGTGATTCCTGTGATCCAGAAGCTATCTGACTTGCCTTTAGCCTACAGTAAAACAATAAACCAGTCCTCAGAAAAAATGAAATATTTATTTCATTTAATATGAGATCAAAAGCCAATTCCTTTAAAAATTATTAATTTTAGTTATCAAATTGTGAATGTCTATCACTATCTAAGTTTTCGTATGGTTTCGTGTATGGAATTCAAAAATAATACAAGTTTAACATTACATTATCATAACTGGTAAAAATAATGCAAAAAACAATGCGGCAAATTACTTACATGCGATTTTGTGTTAACCACTTGGGTCCAAGTGTCCCCGAACTTCCTGTTTAAGATACGTATTACTCCAGAAGAATCTGCAGCAAATGGGGTACCTTCATGGGAAAACCTGAAATAGACATAGTGAGTTCTATTTAGCTTACTCTTTGAGTATTTCCAATTTCTCAAAACCTGTGAGAACTTGTATTGTATGTTATTGTACATGTATTGTATTGGGAGATGGCAAAGACGAGTTATAACTAGAGAACAGCAACACCAAAGCGTAGCAAATCCCATCGAACAGCCCTGCCTTGCATTTTTACAAACAAAGTATATATCAAACATGGCGGCCATTTTTCAAAATGCCCACCTTCTACCAAAAGTGTCATTAGACAGTGTGCCATGCTTATAGTATTCACATATCAAATATCGCTCCACTACTTTTCCAGTTATCATAAAATACGTTAAAATGGTGGCCATATTTCAAAATGGCCACCTTCTACCAAAAGTGTCATTAGACTGTGTGCCATGCTTATGGTATTCAAATACCAAATATGAACAAAATCTCTCCACTACTTTTCGAGTTACAGCAAAAATTGTAAAATAGCGAGTAAAGGTCGCCATTTTTCAAGATGGCTGCCATGTGCTTCTTTAATATCTACATTTCAAGCTCTATTAATGGCCTATATTATTTTTGAAAATCTGCTTTTGAGCAGAACTTCTACTAACAAAATCGGGCCAATGGTATTTGAGTTATTGCCAGGACGGATGGACGTAAGTACATACGTACGCACAGACGGATGGGCAGACGTGTTCCCTATATCCCTCCGAACTTCGTTCGATGGGATAAAAATATTAAACATATAATTAATGTGCATACAACCTAATAGCCATTTTAATTTGACAGACCAATGGATGGATGGATACCTAACCAAAAGGCTATGTGTGAGCCAAAACATTGAAACCTGTGCAGTATGTCAAATTTTTGTCATTTGAACAGAATTTCATAAAGTATTAATCCAAATGGTGATATATCATGCATCAAGAAATGTTTGAAAAGTGAACACCCTGTACTCCTAAATCCAAATTGAAGATCGCAAAATAAATGCAAATTCCAAGTCTCAACCCTTGAAAATATCCCCTGTAGGTCAGGATAAATTGGATCATTGTTAGAAAATGAATAATTGTAGTTTATACATGCAATATTCATAATGAAAACACTACCATGATAAATTCAACCTGTGGGCTTGATAATTACCTTAGGTTGACATTAAAGCATGACCAACTAAACTTTATTGTATGAATTTTGAGTGGCATCTGTCTGAACAATACGAGTAAATGGCGAATAGCATGATAATAAAAATCATTACATGTAATCAACTTGACTTGCTGTTTTCTAGTTCACAATAGGTAAGGTAGGGTTGTTTTACACTTTCACAAAAAGTTGAAATCAAAAAATTTGGGGAGCCTATTTCAATTTCAATCTGAAGAGTGATATGTTTCAACAAAATGAAGAAAATGTGGCAGTTTACATGAAAGATTATACATGAAAATAAGATACATTTGAAAGAAAGGCTAGTCTGCTAGTGTTTAAATATTGACATCAAAGATCGAAAATGCAGATTCATCATATGTTATCCGAGGTCAAATTTTCACATGGTTTGCTAATGGGTCATGAATTATATTGCTGCCATGAACAACTACCTTAATAAATCATGTGAATGGTTTTAATGTTAACATAAAGTATGGTGAATGTACAGGCACGTTTAATTGTACTTTTCTCCTTTTGTGGAATCATTTTGATAATATATACAAATATAAAACATAATGGATATAAAGGATCAAACAAAGATGACTTTAAGCTACAACCACAAATGATGATATCAGGAGGAAGAATAAAACCTGAAAAACAGGACCAAATGGCCAAAAAACTACCAGGAGTAATAAATATTGGTGTTTCAAAATGTGGCACGGGGGCACTACAAACTTATATGAAAATTCACCCGAATATTGTAACGTACCCGCATCTTGAGGCAGAAACTCATTTCTTTGATAAAAAAATTAATCAACGCCTCCCATTTGAGCAGGAAATACAAAGATACAAAAATATGATGCCCGAAGCATTTCCAAATGAAACCGTCTATGAGAAAACGCCATCATATTTTGATGTAGAAGTTGTTGACCCATATGACCTCTACAGAATGAACCCTGCAGTGAAGCTGATATTACTGGTTTGTGACCCTGTGAGGAGGACAATGTCAGCCTATCTGAACCAAGTCTATTTGCGAGGATTGGACAAGCCCTATGAATATTATACACTTGATGAGGACGGCAATGTAAATGCAGAAGCTGAAAATATCCATAAAGGCAGATATGATAAACCTCTTCTAGAATATTTGAAGTATTTCCCACAAAATAAAATTCATATTTTGGAAAATACTTTTTTAATGGAACATCCAACTTTGGCTATGCAGGAAATAGAGGAATATTTAGGATTGAACAAATTCTATACCAATGATACATTTTATTACAATGAGTCTATAGGGTATTTCTGTATAAACCCAACTATTCAACCAGTTAATGAAGGGTGTCAGCAAAAGACCAAATACAGAGTTCATCCAAATATTAGTGAAGAAACTGTTTTAAAGCTAAAGAGATACTTTCAACCATTCAATGACAATTTCATGAAACTGGCTGGTAAAAATATGCCATCATTGATATACTTTTAAAGGGTGACGCATATCGTTTAGCAAATCGAACGCTCGTTTTTGGTGTTGCTCACCGTTTAGTATAAAAGGCCCGATCCCGGAATAATACTCAAGGGTTCACAGGCTCGAGGTCGTTGTGTCAACACCTCTAACTGTTATATAGCATAAGTATATTATAGATCGTCACACATTTATAAAACGGTGATTTTTATTTTGACAAATCAATTCCACATTTATGGGTGAAGTTTCAGGATCTTCTATTTGTGTATAATAAGGAAAAATTGAATCTAAATTTCCCCATAACGTAATAGCACACAGCTTGGTATATAAAATATCCTACAAATGAAACAAAGCAGTTCTAATACAAGGATTTATATTGGCTGTTGTACATATTCTTTGAACGCAATCACTCTATGGATAATGTTTTCAAAATCATTATAAACGGATTAATTTATCTCAAAGACAATTTCAATAAACTGGATTTTACAGAACTCCCATTATTTCTTAAAAATGGACTGATCCAGTCGATTCACCTGGAGCCGCCATATTGTTTTTATACGGGATGCTTATCGGAACCCTTTAAAGAAAAATGAACGTTGTAAAGCCAACCACAAATTACAAACCAGAACAACGGCAACGCCAAAGCGTAGCGAATCCCATCGAACAGAAATGGCTGGCATTTTTACAAACGAAGCGCAAATATCATAAAACAACACACCAGAAAGGCCACCATTTTCAAAATGGTTGCTCACTAGCCAAGTTGTCATCAGAAGAAATAATATGCTTTTAAGTAGCCACCTCTAAAATTTTTTGAAAAATCGCACACATACTTGTAAAATAACACACGTAAAAATGGTGGCCATTTTTCAAAATGGCCGACTACTCCCCAAAGTTTTATTAGACAATGTGCCATGCTTAAAGTATTCACATATCAAATATGAACAAAATCGCTCCACTACTTTTCGAGTTATAGTAAAATATGTTAAAATGGCGGCCATTTTTCAAAATGGCCACCTTCTACCAAAAGCGTCATTAGAAATAGAAGGTGTTCCATGCTTATAGTATTCACATACCAAATATGAACAAAATCGCTCCACTACTTTTCGAGGTATAGTAAAATACGTTAAAATAGCGGCCATTTTTCAAAATGGCCGCCTTCTACCAAAAGTGTCTTTAGACAGTGTGCAATACTTATAGTATTCACACACCAAATATGAACAAAATCGCTCCACTATTTTTAGAGTTACAGCAAAAATCGTAAAATGACGAGTAAAGGCCGCCATTTTTCAAGATGGCTGCCATGTGCTTTTTAATATCTACATTTGTAGCATTATTAATGTCCTTTATAATTTTTTTTACATTTAAAACATATTGCTATTACAGTTTTACATATTGCACCTAAATTACTGTAAAATCGTCACTAAAATGGCCGCCATTTTGAAATGAGCGGCCATTTTGAAAATTGGCTTTCGAGCAGAACTTCTATCCCCATAGGGTATATGTGTACGAAATATGAACAAAATCGGGCCAACGGTATTTGAGTTATTGCCCGGACGGACGGACAGACGGACGGACGGACGGACGGACGTACGGACGTACGTACGGACGGACGGACGGACGGAGGCGTTCCCTATATCCCTCCGAACTTCATTCGATGGGATAATTAGCATAAAGCTCATCTTCAGTTTGGTTCACAGAAAATTCACATAGAGACTGGACAAATCTGCAACCCTCAACCTTCACCTGATGTATTGATGGAACAGGTTTAATGAATTACAAAAACACATCTTTTTATCTTGCAATAGATATGAACAAAAAAAATTTAAACAAGTAAGATAATCTAGTACAATATGCTCTTGTAATGAACTCCAACATTCATAGGACCTTGCTATGACAGACAGAAGAATCTTGTTTTACAATGAATTTTCACTTTAATGACTATTAAGTCTCAATTAAACCAGCAATTAATGACACTGATGACATTTATGTCATTGAAGAAATGTGAGACTAAAACACAATATAACACAGGCTTCTCCCCAGGATCTTTTCTCAAGTGGGTGCAAAATTCTCACTTTCTCAGTTTTGTCTCAAAATGATCAAAATATGCCTTTTTTCATGATTTCCCTCATTTTCAAGTGGGTGCAAATGGATTCTCAGGTGGGTGCTAGCAACTTGTTTTGATCACAGTAACACAACATAACATGACTTTTAAAAGTGGCCAATAGAATACATAAGGGTGATATGAAAAGTGAACCACTAAAACTGATAATATTTAAAGGAACATTCCTGGCCAAACCTTTTCTAACCTGATGTGATAGCTATAATCATATATATAATGTACTTTCCATATTTAGCAAAACATGGGGAAATGTTTTAATATAGTCAATATTGATAATTTAAAAATGTAGTGCTCATTTCCAGTAAGCTGCCATCTTTTAAGATTTTACTCAGGAAGTGATGTCATCGACTCTCAACTTTCATGACCTTGCATATAACAGTATAGGAAAATAGCACAATATCACTTCTAGACGAGTGATCCTTACTTTATGCGCAAAATATGTTCAGAGCTTGTCAGCTTAGAATAATAGAAGAGACTTTTAGAAGGATTAAATCATAGACAAAATTGAAAAGGAATATTCAGCTGGTTTTTAATTCTTAATAGCTCCTTATAGTGTTATATGCAACGTTGAGAGTCGATGACATCACTTCCTGGGTGAAATATTAAAAGATGGCAGCCTACTTGAATTCGGCACTACATTTTTAAGTGATCAATATTGACCATATCAAAACATTTTTCCCTGTTTTGCTAAATATGGAAAGTATATATATATGGTTATAGCTACCATATTAGGAGAGAAATGGTCTGGCCAGGAATATTCCTTTAAGTTAAATTGAACTTTCTACTATTCCCACCATGCGATCTGACCCGAACGAGCCAGCTTGTGGTGAAACTGGCAACAACCTACTCTCATCTGAGTAATTGTGATTTGACATGCAAATATCATTGGTCATTTTAAAAAACTTTGAAATGAATGAAGAGGCAGTCAGTTGGGTTTACGATGACAATTTTGTTGTCCGATGATATTTTTCATTGGAAGGTACAGATAGCCTTGTCCAAGTCAGTATTTTTTACTTATCTGATCTTAAATTAATACCAATTTGTACAATCAAATGAATATGAATATGCTGATCTTATGATAAGTCAGGGGTATCGCGAAACTGTATTGATTGACAAGATCGTGTGGACATGACATGTGACTTCAGACTGATTGACCAATCACTGTCAGGTTTACCCGCATAATCAACAACTGTAAGACTTGAAATTTTCAATGATCTGATCCCAGGATCGGAGTATTTCTTCAGAGTTACAATATATCATGTAATTAAATGTACATTGCAATGTAAGCAGTCATTAATATAAATTCAATCATACAATTCAATGTTGATTTAAAACTGAATTTGCAATGAAAATGCATGAAGACCTAGTCCTTATAGTTGTGATTGATCTAATCGCAGCCTAGATCTCGCTCTCATGTTCGATCATTTCCACAAACTTTTCAACGTTTCTTGTTGAAATCTTATCACCTCTGGGTATTAGTTCAATGCTCTGGCATCCACTAAGCTCTGATTGTTATTTGTCTGATAAAATATTTGTATTTTCATGATGAATTTGTGCAAGATTTGTGCGTGAAAAGTGTACTTGTTTTGCATAATTATGAGCTAACGTCGTTGATTGGTAAAATTTACCGACATAAACACTGAATCAGTAAAGCACCTTGCTTTCTCATTGGTACAAGGCAGTCATAATAGTAATCAAAATAAGTAAGAGACCGACTTGGGCAAGGTTAGGTACAGAGTATGTTGATTTATCTCAATATAACAGACATTTATCCCATGGAGGTCAGGCCAAGATAGTATATGTAAAATTCAGTGTAACACTTTAATAAATATATTACTTCTACTTCTACTGTAAAATAGGAAATATTTTTTAGTATGTTCTTCCAAGGTTTCAGACATTAATATCCATTACTTTAATTAAAAATGAAAGATGTTTGTATTTTAACTGCTTAGGTATTCTCTCAAACAGGTTATATCATTAATCTCAATATTGATGTTACAATTATTACAACCCTTGCAATTAATTACATTTTAAAAATTAATTGTAATTTTGACATTTACTACTATTTACTCCAGTCTCCAACATGATACAATGCAGATTACCAAATGTTATAATATTTTCAATACAGATGGTGTCCAATTCTCAATAGTTGTGGAATAATGAATTTAGTTTCATTTGGGGGAGGGGAAAAATATGGCTTCAAATAATGATGAAAAGTGTCTATTTTTCTTTTGGGGGAAGGGGGTAAAATATGGTTTCAAATAATGAAAAGTGTCTATTTTTCGTTTGGGGGAAGGGGTAAAATATGGTTTCAAATAATGAAAAGTGTCTATTTTTCGTTTGGGGGAAGGGGTAAAATATGGTTTCAAATAATGAAAAGTGTTGATTTTTCGTTTGGGGGAAGGGGGAAAAGATGGTTTCAAATAATGAAAAGTGTCTATTTTTCATTTGGGGGAAGGGGGAGAAGATGGTTTCAAATAGTGAAAAATGTCTATTTTTCGTTTGGGGGAAGGGGGAAAAGATGGTTTCAAATAATGAAAAGTATCGATTTTACGTTTGGGGGAAGTGGGTAAAATATGATTTCAAATAATGAAAAGTATCAATTTTACGTTTGGGGGAAGTGGGTAAAATATGGTTTCAAATAATGAAAAGTGTCTATTTTTCGTTTGGGGGAAGGGGGAAAAGATGGTTTCAAATAATGAAAAGTATCGATTTTATGTTTGGGGGAAGTGTGTAAAATATGGTTTCAAACCAGAACAACGGCAACGCCAAAGCGTAGCGTATCCCATCGAACAGAAATGGCTGGCATTTTTACAAACGAAATATATAGCAAATATCATGAAATAACACACATAAGAAAGGCCACCATTTTCAAAATGGTTGCTCACTAGCCAAGTTGTCATCAGAAGAAGTAATATGCTTTTTCTTTATAGTATTCACATACCAAATATGAACAAAATCGCTCCACTACTTTTCGAGTTATAGTAAAATACTTAAAAATGGCCGCCTTCTACCAAAAGGGTCATTAGACAGTGTGCCATGCTTATAGTATTCACATACCAAAAAATCGCTCCACTACTTTTCGAGTTACAGCAAAAATCGTAAAATAATGAGTAAAGGCTGAGTAAAATACATTAAAATGGCGGCCATTTTTCAAAATGGCCACCTTCTACCAAAAGTGTCATTAGACAGTGTACCATGCTTATTGTATTCACATACCAAATATGAACAAAATCGCTCCACCACTTTTCGAGTTATAGCAAAATACTTTAAAATGGCGGCCATTTTTCAAAATGGCCACCTTCTACCAAAAGTGTCATTAGACAGTGTGCCATGCTTATGTCATTCACATACCAAATATGAACAAAATCGTTCCACTACTTTTCGAGTTATAGTAAAATAAGTTAAAAGGGCGGCCATTTTTCAAAATGGCCGCCTTCTATCAAAAGTGTCATTAGGCAGTGTGCCATGCTTATTGTATTCAACAACCAAATATGAACAAAATCGCTCCACTACTTTTTGAGTTATAGTAAAATATGTTAAAATAGCGGCCATTTTTCAAAATGGCGGCCATTTTTCAAAATGGCGGCCATTTTTCAAAAATGGCCGCCTCCTACAGAAACTGTCATTAGACAGTGAGCCATGCTTATAGTATTCACATACCAAATATGAACAAAATCGCTCCACTACTTCTTGAGTTACAGCAAAAATCGTAAAATAACGAGTAAAGGCCGCCATTTTTCAAGATGGCTGCCATGTGCTTCTTTAATATCTATATTTCTAGCTTTATCAATGTCCTATATAATTTTTTTACATTTAAAACATATTGCTATTACAATTTTACATATTGCACATAAATTACTGTAAAATCGGCACTAAAATGGCCGCCATTTTTAAATGAGCGGCCATTTTGAAAATCGACTTTCGAGCAGAACTTCTATCCCCATAGTGTATATGTGTACAAAATATGAACAAAATCGGGCCAACGGTATTTGAGTTATTGCCCGTACGTACATACGGACGGACGGACGGAGGCGTTCCCTATATCCCTCCGAACTTCGTTCGATGGGATAATAATGAAAAGTGTCGATTTTTCGTTTGGGGGAAGGGGGTAAAAGATGGTTTCAAATAATGAAAATTGTCTATTCTTCGTTTGGGGGAAGGGGGAAAAGATGGTTTCAAATAGTGAAAAGTGTCTTTTTTGTTTGGGGGAAGGGGGTAAAAGATGGTTTCAAATATTGAAAAGGGTCAACTTATTTAAATATTCAAGTGAAAGACATATAATATCAATGTTTTAAAATTTTATTAGATGAAGGGGGTCAAATCATGATGAAATTAACTTTCTTTTTTTAAAGACTAGTTAATATTCAGTACAGGATGACACAAAAATTTGCAACCCTTTAATTTCCAAAATTACACTCTCAATTATAGCTGAATCTTTATCAATTATATACTTTTATCAAATAACAGTAAATTATGGTGAACTGGTTTGTTATTTGGAAAATATTTACAAAGATAGATTTATGAATTAAACTATACACTTTATGGCTATTTGGTGTGAGAGCATTCCTTGACAAAAATCCTAATATATTTCAATCTTAAAATCATTTATGCTATAAACGCAAACCATTGCTTCACGCATTAAACAAGAACATTCATAAAGATTACACCATAATAACAGGGTGAGCCAAAAAAATGTTACCCAAACAAATGTTAATCACTGTCTTCTAACATGGATTTGAACTCATATTTGGCACAATTGAACCTTGTCCAATGCTCTTTCATGTTGGAAGACAGTTATTAACATTTGTTTGGGTTCCATTTTTTGGGCTAACCCTGTATTCAATTTCACCATTACTTAACTAGTCTTCAGTATGAAATCATCATTTCAGCCCTTACTTACCCAAGCCATGTTAAGGTAGCCTTGGGGCTAAGTGGCAGTCGTCCATCTTTTACAGTTCTAGTTCCACTGATATGTAGATGTATGTAGCTCAGACACTGGTCACCCGGGGCCCCTAAAAGTAAGACAATAATGAATGTATAAAGTCATCTCCATTGTCCATTATGAAGGGTGAAAATAAACTGGTTGCTATGCTATGCGCTGCTATGGTTACTACAGGTGACATTTCAAAGCAAACATTGACCACTAGGTAAGTGACAATAAGCTGGTTACTATGTGCTGCCATGGTAACGAAAGGTGACATATTACAACTTACCTTGTCCAGTATGGTAGGCGACAACAAGCTGGTTGCTATGTGCTGCCATGGTTACTACAGCTCCTGGGATAGTGAAGATTTCCCGCTGTACACCTCCCAAGGTAAACAGCCGGATATTGCGTAGGCTCGTTGCCACAGCAACCCAATTATCTCCTATAATTGGATATGGTAATATTAGACAAAATGATTTTTGGGGCCATAGGTTATAAAAAATAATCGAATATAAAATACCTGTTAAATATAAGGAAATTGTGTTCGATGAATATATCTGTAGGATATGTTAGGTCACGAGGCTTTAAGAAATATTTTGCAATAAAAAGCTACATTTAAAAAGACTACATGTAGTCTCAGTTTGGAGAACAAAGTGGATAAATGACAAAGCCCTCTGATATCATCTGTATTCTTCATATGATGAACTTATAAATCACGTTTAAATCAAGGACTTGGAGAACAACATCTCAACTGAGTTTCCACAAAAATATTGCATGTAATGTTTATTTTCTAAAACTAGATATATGTCCAGGCCTGTAGCCAGGGGGGGGGTTGCCCTGGCCAAAAATTCTTTCAAAATCATGCAGTTTTTCACAATTTTGAGCACTTCTCAAGTGATTTTAGCCATATTTGGGCCTAAATTGTCTATGTTTCCTAAGTGACATCCATACATTCAAGTAGATTTCATGTTAAAGGATTGGGTGAAATACATATTTAAGTGAAACCCACCAGAATGTACAGATTGTACAAACCTCAGGAAATGGGTTGGGCGGGAGGGTAACTTATTTTTCAATCATTTCCCAATTTCATGATATTTCATCCAAATTTCATGATATGTAAACTATTATCCATTCCATTCGCTAATGACTACCTCCCTCGAATTCCCTATTTAGAATAAACATTCACTCTACTCAATAATATAGATGTCACTTAGGAAATCTATGTTTCCTAAGTGACATCCATACATTCAAGTAGATTTCATGTTAAAGGATTGGGTGAAATACACATTTAATTTTACCCTTTACGGTGTATTTACATCCTGAATAATGTGATTTGTTAATTTTTATTAGCTCCCAATCCTCAAATCTTTAATAAAAAATTAACAAAAAACTAACGTGGACATCGGATTTGAGAGCAATCTCTCCAAGTAGTTCTAGTAGATGGTTTTCCATGATGTAATTATGAAGCTAATAAAACCTAAAATTGACCTCATATCAATGTTTCATTCATGAATTACTGGTGGGGAAAAATCAGTCCCCTGACATGACTAATTCTCAATTGCCAATTACCTCCTACTGTGGAGAGACAACTCTCACATCCGAAGTCCACGTAGTTAAAACCACTAAGAGATCAGTGCTCCCGGACTTTAGATGTAAAGAGAAGCCAATTGTTTATCAGACTTCACTAGTTTCAAATGTTACAAACTCAAGTCATTTTCAAATTAGTTTACAAGAGGGTACATGGAATTAAACCATTACATAACCAATCACTTGCATAGGTTATCCAGTCATGTCAAAACAATTCAACCTACTTTCTATTGAGTAAACCCCAGTTTTCATTCAATTGCCAATTACCAGATTATACCTGAGTGTTATTATTTTCGTCACACTGTACTATAACGTACTGTATAATGACCTCTAATTTTACTGTGTTATTAACACGTTGAATTTCCAGTGTTCATTATAAGGCCATGTTATCAAGATTTTTCATGTCATCAATGTTCTATTTTTCTTTGTTTCTGTCAAATATTTGCCTCTCAGAAAACTTCTCTTATATTGTCTCATAGTTATATTTATAGCCCCTTGCTCTGGCATATATCTCTGTATCTCTAGGCTCTCCAGGCCTTTTATTCATTACCCCTTATGGTTCATATTTTTTGCCCCCTGCTTGCGTATATATTTTCAGGCCCTTGGAGCCTTTTATTTTAGCCCCTTGCTCGGGCATTTATATCTAGGCCCTCAAAGCCTTTTATTTTAGCCCCTTGCTCAGGCATTCATATCTAGGCCCTCAAAGCCTTTTATTTTTAGCCCCTTGCTCGGGCATTTATATCTCTAGGCCCTCAAAGCCTTTTAATCTCTTGGCCCTCAAAGCCTTTTATTTTAGCCCCTTGCTCGGGCATTATATCTCTAGGCCCTCAAAGCCTTTTATTTTAGCCCCTTGCTCGGGCGCCCCTTGCTCGGGCATGTAAATCAAAATATGCTTACCACTGCTGAATGTACGTCTGGTCACTTCGAATTCCCTATTTAGAATAAACATTCACTCTACTCAATAATATAGATGTCACTTAGGAAATCAAATGTGAACCCCCCTGGAAACTTTTGAAAACTGAACCCCCCCCCCCCCCCTCTTGGCAAATCCTGGCTACGGGCCTGATGTCTTACCTATTGTGATGGCTTGTATATTCTCCTTATCAGGCATTAAGACTGTCCATTCTTTAGCATTGTCCCATGTTCCAAAATGCATACATACAAGTTTGCTGAAACATAGAAATCCTAATTAACAGGGTTAGCTTCAACTTATTTTTCTGGACAATAATAAAGTGATGATGGAGTATAATGTGCCACAGGGTTGGGTGCCTTCATTGAGGTATTATCATTCATTGAGGTACTATTGTTCATTGAGGTATTATCATTCATTGAGGTACTATTGTTCATTGAGGTATAATCATTCATTGAGGTACTATAGCTCATAGAGGTATTATCATTCATTCAGTAAATATTACTCATTGAGGTATTAATTATCATTCATTTAGGTACTTTTGCTCAGAGATATTATCATTTATTGAGTAATATTGCTCATTGAGATATTATCATTTATTGAGGTACTATTGCTCATTGAGGTATTATCATTCATTGAGGTATTGCTCATTGAGGTTTTCTCATTCATTGAGGTACTATAGCTCATTGAGGTATTATCATTTATTGAGGTACTATTGCTCATTGAGGTATTATCATTCATTGAGGTATTGCTCATTGAGGTTTTCTCATTCATTAAATTACTATTGCTCATTGAGGTATTATCGACGAATTGTCACATTCTGAAAAGTTTCGTACATTGTGCATAAGTTAGCAAAAATTTCTTTCAATTAATGAGAGGGTATCAGTTCGTGGGACAGGAAATTTTCAGGATTCAGAATAAGAATTGAAATCTCAACTCACAGTTGGTTTTTTTAAATGTCTAATTCATAAAATAATTATTTACTGTGATTTCAAAATTTGTAGGTAAAAGGTCATTCTTTCCTTTGCCAATCACCCACTATACTTCCATATTTTTTTCCTCGGCTATATTGTTAATTGAGGGCTCTCAAAAGGAAATGTCTAGGGTGTGATGGAAACAGTGTTACAATGAGTCGCAATAATTCAAGAAAAAAAATTTGATTTATTCCTTTTACATTATACTTGTATAAATGAAAAGTTAGATAAAATTGTGGCAACAATCATGGCTGGTTGACAGGCCTTGGTTGAAGCTGAATAGACAGTTATTTCATTCAAATCATCTACATATTGAGTTTATATCTGATCTAAAATCTGAGATGACTTTTTCAAAGGTCATATAATATATGAGCTTCAATTGTTTACAGCCTTTATTATCTAAAGTCTTAATTATCTTAAAGGCAGGCAATCATGGTTTATATTTAAATATCAATTTTATTTCAACATTCTTAGTATTCATATATAACAATGTACAAAAACAATAGAGTTTATACAGTAATTAACAATTTTAATAGATACACATATCCACTAAAATACACATCTTTAAATATCACAGATTGGTGACAGATCATCTCATATACATAATACATGTACCATATATAATATACGATGTATATACTTTATTCAAGTGTTGGCATCAGTGGTTCAAATACATCTTTTAAGTCCTTGAGAGGGCCAGAAGAGAACGATTTTGCAAGTCCATCAAAATATGGTACTGTATGCCTGTACTTCTATTTAATTTGGCGCTACTTATTTTGGAGGATTTGCTGTTTTGAACATTTGGCAGCTACTTAATTTGGAGGATTTGCTGTTTTGAACATTTGGCAGCAACTTAACTTGGAGGATTTGCTGTTTTGAACATTTGGCAGCTAGTTAATTTGGAGGATTTGCTGTTTTGAACATTTGGCAGCAACTTAATTTGGAAGATTTGCTGTTTTGAACATTTGGCAGCTAGTTAATTTGGCAGACTTGCAATATTGAAAAATCTGGTGAACTTCAAAGGATGCACATATTAGCCCAATTTTATCATTGATATCTGTTTCGTTTCTTATTAAGTAGTTAAGAATGGACATATTGTTGTTATTATACAAAAGTAATGATTTGAACAAATTTCGAATATGTTCAACTGGAAATTATGGTAAATTTTGTGCAGTGTGAATCAACGGAAAGGATAGGTATAGATATGGTGAACTGAATTCAACAATGTTTTTCTCTTAAAACCAATTATTGAAAACATTTTGTAAAAGAACACGGTCGTTTATATAATGTTGACTAATTGGCAACAATTTAATGCAAAAATTATTTATATATATTTTATATAACTGTTTTGTTAACATTTTTTGTTTTTTAGTGCAATTGTCTTTTGTTCCTTTCTACCAATTCTTGAGAATGAAATAAAATGTCTTTCCGAACCTTGTTGGAACAAAATAGCATATACAACATTTTCATAGACCTCTCCATATTATACTTATAAAAAGGAAATTTTGGGTGATTTAACAAAAAGTATGCAAAAACTTAAAACAACCACTCCCCCAAAAAAATAGATAAAAATAAGATAAACATTTTATTTCATTAACAAGATACTTTTTTAAAATCAACCAAACTTTCCTTTGTACAATTACAATATTGAGAGACCTAAACATGTTGTGTTTATGTCATTTTGTTCCAATGAGGTTCGGATAGATGTTTCATTTCATTCCGAACATATGATACCAATAACAAAAGGAGTGTCTGATGTATTTTCTAAAACAATTTAGAAAAAAGTATTTATATTTATTTCAAATGATAATGTTACCATCAAAAAGATGACCATTAAATTGACAATGTGTAAAATTTTCAGAATGTTTTGATGACTGGTTTATTAGAAATGCGTGTCAAAAAGTTCACCATATCGATATCACTCCTTTAGGAATTTGGTGGCAACTTAATTTGCCGAACTTTAACAAAGGCCGCCAAATTAAGAAATACAGTATGTTATAACATATCCACTGCTATATTTTTTGTAAAACCAACAATTGCAAAATGCATAATTTAAAATTACATGTATAAGCATAATTTATCATTCATGAAATTATATTTAGTCTACAGGGTTTCCAGAAAGTTTTTATAATTAAACTCCAGATGTCAAAATTAGTTATGTGATCTACAAATTCTCCCAACATCTAATATGCCTATATATCCACAGTTTCAAACGGTGCTGTCCGGAGTTTATGGGGCTTAGGGGGTTCCCCTAGACTCCAACTTGCTGTATCTTTCTGTAAATCTGAGCTGAAGAATTCCATGAGGTCTGGGGGACTTGGTTTAGGCTTAGAGCTAGTTTTTGCGGCTTTCCCGTCAGATTTTAACTGTGCTGCTCTCGATGCCTGTTCATAAGCTACAGCTTCCAGGAATTCATCTCCCGGAACCTCAACAGATGTTAAAGATCGGAAACCAGCTGTTTTGGCATTTAATTTTTTCGATACTTTTTCCTCAACTCGTGCTTTCACTTTAGAAGTTGTTGCTTTCTTAATGATGCTATCTGTAATCGTCAACTCGCGAGACTTAAGTTCATCAATTTCTTTCTTTAGTTTCACACTTGTGTTATATTCAGGTCTTGTGAGGACACTTTCAGGCAATTCTGATAAAACATCTTTTTTCAGGTATGACCTAGTTTCAAATGGAAATTGATAGCCTTGAGGATTTTTACATAATTTCTCCCCAGTTTTGCCTCTTTCAGCAAGGCTTTCCTTTGAGTCTGAGATTTTATTGCTTGTTCCAGTATCAGTTTTCTTGGCAACTTTTTCATTTATAATTCTAACATTTTGATTTGTTTTGCTGGTATTACCTTGACACACATACTGGTAAGTTTTAGATAATGGTGGTTCATAGTCGGATCTGGCAATGTTCTCTTTGCCCTTATTCACAGTTGATTTCACCTCTGTTAGATGACTGGGTTTTTTATTTGATTTACTTGCCAGTGTTTGGCCTGCTTGTTCACCCAAGGAAAACTTGACTTGTCTATGTTTTGATTGTCCACCATTTTCTTTAATTTTATTTCGCAAATTGTCCGACTTTTCTGGTGTGAGACACAAATCGGGATCGGCTGATGCTAATCTGCTGTCCAACAATGGGGTAGGCTTATATTTCATTGGGACGCTATCGTCTTGTGAGTGGGTTTCCCCCGGAGGTTTATATCTTGCGTATTGTGCTTCTTCACCGATCCAGCCTTGGTATGGTAAAGGTTTGTACCGCGATGGTAAACTATCATCTTCCTGATGGGAGTCATAATGCTGTTTATTCGCCTGCCTTGCCTTAACAGTTTCCTCCCTGGCTCTTCCAGTACCCTCCCTGGCTCTTCCATTATCCACCTTGGCTCTTCTAGACTCCACCCTGAAATTCAACAAAATTATTCAAGTGACTACACAATGATCTGAATGTCATTAACCAGTTTTTGAAAAGAATTGATCTGATTGTCATCTCCAATCATACTCAATTTCACTCAAAATGAGAATGGACAGGTTTTTACACCCACAAATGCAAGTTCTGGATATGTAATACAAATTGTAAAGTCGCATTTACTATACACATGAACATGTATACGAACATACAATTCATGAATACTTATGAATCAAGCATTTAAATGAGTTCCAACTGTCAGAATTAAGCACTGTCAAATTTTTTATATGAGTAATTTTTTCAAATTGAACTAGATTGTATGGCAACTTTTAAGACAATGAGATCAATTATAGTTCAGACTGACATTCAGATCAAGTAGTTTGAATATTTTTGTTGATATTTCACCCACTATGACTTTTTTAAACCAAGATTTATTTGTTTATCTCTTATTTCAGTTCATAGGCTGTATGTTTTGGTGTTAACTAACACAAATTCTAATATGATTTCAAAACAAGCAATAAGTTCATCTTGTTTTTGTTAGTAAACAAATTGCATATCTACAACCTATGACAGCATGAATCTAGCCAATATTCTCTGGTTCTTTAAGAGGAGGGAAAACCCCATGATTCAATTGATGACATACGATTTCCTCCTTCGCACACCTCCTTTCCCGGAAGTACGTATATTTATACTTCCCTCCATCTTGGTTTTCAAAGTTTTCAAATTGACCTAGTTTTAAACCAATCAACGATCGACTCGCTAAACCAATCAGCGACAATGTCATCTCAATACAGATTTACATTATAAGTGTATGTCATCTTTGAACCCTGGGGTTTCTCCCCCTCTTGGTTCTTCAATGTAACAGTATACTAGGGCAGCATTCATTGGAAAGGTCAATAATTCAAACGGCATTTTTGAGTTCATTGGGAACATGCCTAAAATGTCTAGGTTGTTCTCTCCAATCATGTATGAGAATTTTTTCTTGACAGAGAAAACAGGATTTACAGCGAGAAGTAGGGTTGGGACAATGACCCAATGAGTCGATTCCACACGAGTGCAATTTCAACCTGTCACCTCTAGAGAGAAGTCAGATACTCTGCACAAAATGAAATACATGTAGAAATTATCTTCATGCAGTCCAAAATAAAATCACACCTTTAGCATGAAGTGTTTCATAAGTATTTCAGACCACAAAGGCGAAATTCCTGAGAATATTATAATTCTACCCTGGAGACAATTTCTTTGGTAAAAACAGTCTGAGAGAATCTCTTGCTAAAGAAACTTAGAATAAAATAAATTATGTGCATGAACCCATACCTATTAGTTTTCTCTTCTGGGTCAGCCTCACATGCAAGTATAACAGCCTCAGCTGACATGTCAGCCATAGTGTGGCCTGCTGTATTGCCCATGTGCATGGCATGGTGTGTTGCGGTGTCGTGGAACTCGATATCTATTGAGTTTTCATCCTCTGTGTTGTATTGTCGTACAATCCCTGTATTATTCCAAACCTGAAAATATTACATAACTTGTAATTTTTGTTGATTTTGTATTACTTGAGTGCAGCTGCACTATGAAATTTATATTCTCTCCAGTGATCTCCCAAAGATTTTTTTCTCAGGTGTGTGCAAAATACTCATTTTCACAATTCAGACCAAAATTGGTTAAAATATGCCAATTTTTCATGATTTTTCTCAATTTCAAGTAGGTGCAAATGGATTTTCAGGTGGGTGCAAGCCTATTTTCAAAATCTCAGTTGGGTGCTGCGCCCACTTGCTTTAATGCTGGGGAGATCACTGCTCTATATGTTTGCACATTAACCTGATTACGTTTTGAGATGCTTTTTTTATTTGTTGATCAACAGGAAGTCATGTGGTATCTCTAGTGGAGACACTTGTTCATGGTATCTTAATAGCTGTCAAAAACTGTGATGATGATCACGGGGATCTCAAACTGCTCAAATATTGGACACGTACCATGTATCTCTCAGAGAGGTGCAGTGGAGACGATCCAGACTGGAAGGGGCGCTGCAAGGGGGTCAGTTTGGGTCCCTCAGGTACAGCTGGGCGGTACACTGGTGCCTCTGTCTCTTTGATGTTCAAACCAGACTGTGCATCTGTATCTGTAATAATACAAGTTAAATCAACATTATTCAAACCCTCAATATAAGCCAATGAATCAACTGATATCTGAGGGAACTGTATCCTTCCAAACTTTGTTTGGCATATCATCGATTTGGCGATTATATAAACTTGACCAATGGCCAAAATGTGGCTCTTTAACAACACTTGGCCAAGTATCATCAAAGCCACTTGCAAATGTGGCTTCTATGATTCAAAATGAGAGTTTTCCAGTGTATTTAAGGGAAGTGATTTCCTTCCAAACTTTGTTAGTATATTGCCATGACATTGTAAATCAAACAAACTACAAATACATACCTCTTGAATCTTCATCCATTATACCAAATGCTGCCGAATGTTTCTTCTTTAGTTTAGCGAGATCAACGGATTCACTGTCATCATCCTCGCTGTCAATGATGTTCTTCTTGCTGATTGGGGCAGTTGCAGAAAGCAGAAGGTCATCGTCATCAGCGGCAAACAGACTGTCATAATCATTAGATGCTACAGCTTCATCCTGTGGAGTAAAAGTAGAATTAATACGATGTTACATACTCTGCATACAATAATTGCTCAGTTTGTAAACCAATAAATAGCTGTTGTTCATGTTATTCCTCCGCTAAATCATATTATTCTTAAAGGAAAATCATGTTATTCCTCTCATCTTCTGCCAAATTATGTTATTCTTAAACGAAAAACATGTTATTCCTCTCATCCTCATTCTTATAGGAAAGTCATTTTATTCCTCTGCTAAATCATGTCATTCTTATAGGAAAGTCATTTTATTACTCTGCTAAATCATGTCATTCTTATAGGAAAATCATTTTATTCTCATTTATCTCTATTTCCATTACTTTCTCATCTCTCGCAATAACTACAACTCGTCTACTTACATTGGTTTTTTCTTCACTTTCTATTGCATTCTCCACAACTCCCATTTGACCATGATTATCACAGAACATAATCTGGTTGGTTGAACGTGGGTTCCACGCCAGGGAGCATATAGTGTGCTTGTTTTCATGCTGCATTCTGAAAATCAAAAATTATTGTTTATATATTTAAAATGAAGAAGATTCCAAATTGATCAAATCATTGGAAAATCTCCCTGATAAAAATCTTTACTCTTACTTGCTAAAGTCTTTCATTTTACATTTTTTACCATTTAAGTGTAAAACAAAAATATACATGTATGCAATATTCTGGTCACTTTGACATTCAAAAAAATCCTGCTTAACGAAAAATTAAACTACAGGGGCCTATTTAGAGGTGTTGAACTATACCTGTTGAGACAATCTCTGAATGCAAAGTCCCATATAGAGAGAGAGCCGTCTACACATGCTACTGCTAGGTATTGGCCATTGGGACTGAACTCTACAACATTTACCAGCTGAAACACAAAATGCATATTGTATTATTATAGCTTTAAAATATTTAGTTCATCACTGGTTATTGTTCTTAATCTATCTCAAGGGTATACATGGCTTAAATCATCAAATTTTAAAAGTTCCTGAAAATTGAATGGCGAGACACGAGCCAAGCTAGCGGTTGGTTTTGGTGGGTCCTCCCTCCAAGAAATTTTGAAATGAGATTTGATTGAGTGCTTTTTAAGATTAACGTAGACCCATTACATATTCAATCAAATTTAGAGAAAAAAGTATTTTCATTTCAGCTTCTTCATTTTAAGACTGGTTTGCACACAGACTGACAAGGCATTGACATGCAAAATGTCACCACCTGCCATTTGTGACCCCTGAACGCTGAAACATGTTACAGACACCGACTGCCAAACACCATCCACAAAAAAGTTGGAGACTAACAATATGTCACCATTTCTGGAGGTGTCATAATATATAAAACCTATGCTGGAGTCGATGTGAACAAGTCAGTTGGACTTTAACACATAGCCCTTAAGTTACCAGCTGAATGCTCGTAACCAATGAGCTATGAAACAACATGGCCTTCCATTTCATCACTCGGCAATGCAAATCAATACTTAACATGTACCATTAACCCAGCACAGGTTTAAACTCATATCTTACATACTTACCTGTAATATTGATTTGTCCACTATTTTGAATGCCATTTCCCAGGTATCTCTCTCATACACTAAAACTTCTTTGTCACCTGGCACCACAAGATACTACAAATAATAAAGCATACGTTTTTCACCTCAAATGATACAAATGGAAACTTGAGCATGCTGAAAGACTAAAACGTTAATGAAACACAATCTGTAACAGGGATTATGTGTGAAACATATGACACAAGGTAAATCTTCTGTTGGGGTAGGAAGAATGTATATGTGACTCTCATAATTTCAAAAGGTAGCATTCAGCAATAATATTCATTTCCTAAATAAAAAACACAAAAAATCATGAATGGAATGAATCATAATGTCCATTGTCCAATGAAGACATGACATAAGTTGATGTCAATGAAGACATGATATAAGTTGATGTCAATGAAGACATGACATAAGATGATGTCAATGAAGACATGACAAAAGTTGATGTCAATGAAGACATGACATAAGTTGATGTCAATGAAGACATGATATAAGTTGATGTCAATGAAGACATGACTTAAGTTGATGTCAATGAAGACATGACATAAGTTGATGTCAATAAAGACATGACATAAGTTGATGTCAATGAAGACATGACACAAGTTGATGTCAATGAAGACATGACATAAATTGATATCAATGAAGACATGACATAAGTTGATGTCAATGAAGACATGACATAAGTTGATGTCAATGTAGACATGACATAAGTGTATGTCAATGAAGACATGATATAAGTTGATGTCTGAAGACATGACATAAGACTTGTAATAATCATATTTACCTTTCCAGTTTTAGGAGACCAGCAAAGTCTGCACAATGTCTTAGATAAGCTGAAAATCAAAAAGAGATTACAAACTCCTATCTTGATGTAAAGTCATGAATGCAAAGGTTGTAGAAATCAGGGCGACCATTAGGTATTGAGACAAGGACTCCCATTTTACTATTTATTAATCTGTTATTTCTCTATAACTATGAGTTGAGCCAGTTAGACAGGCATAAAAAATGTGTAATTAAATCTGTTCTATTTTGAAATTCAGTGCACCAATCAACATCAAGACATTGATTACACAGTTATCCCACATTGGCTTTCTCTTTAGGATGACATTTCCTTACTTAATTAATTTTATAAGCAGTTTTTCAAATTAAAAACAAGCCAGCCAGAAAGGCATTAGGAGGAAATTCTGAAATTCCCAGACTTTTCCAGGAATAGTTTCAAAATGAGAACAGTTTTAAAATGAGAAAAGAAGATTCTAACCTCACATCATTGCACTTTGGTAGAAGAGAGAATGTTTTTACGCATGTTGTGTCAGAAATCTGCCATATCTTCACAGTGCCGTCACAACTTGATGATGCAGCGTACTCCCCTTTAGGGTCCAGTGCAACACTAAGTATAGGAGCCTCATGGCCAGTAAAGGTCTTCTGTTGACTTGTACCAATTTTTACCAGTTTGATGTGGAAATCGCTGAATAAGATAAATAAGATTAAGTTCATATGAGTTACGGATTTAAGCACTGGACTCAGTGCACTGTGCAGAGCATTGAGTGTTAATTTTAGAAAACAATGCCTGAAAGAAATGGTCATTACACAATGCATTGAGTCTTGGGCTCTTTTCGCACATTGCAAAATATTGTCTGCAAAATCATCTAAAAGATACAAAACCACTAAAAGAACAGATTTTCAATGAAACATTTTGCGTTCAATCGGTAGAGTCCAGTAATCACCATGATAACAATTTAATTCGTGACCTTGAATTCGTTATTGGTTATATAACTGAATGCAATTAAATGAAATAGCGTATTCTGATTGGCTGGAATTGAACACACCTTGCCTAGCAATGTGTGAAATTAAATATTATGCATTGCCTGTTCTCTATCTTGCTTGCCTAGGTAACATTTTCAAAATTCTGTAGATACATAACTGACTAATGGCAATTTGGTGAAAACATCAGTACACTCTTTACCTAGCTCCAGCCAACATTTGTGTTCCATCTTCGCTAAGTACCATATGATTGGCAGGGGCAGTGAAGCGTGTCACAATACCATCTGGGCTACCATCTGCCACTGTGTGAGCTGTGATTGTATTGCTGTCCACAGCAGTGTAGTATTTGCCATCCTAAACATCAACAATTTAGAAGTAGTTATATATTGGTTCATCCTAGTCTATATCCAATAGACTGAATTTCCTGAGAATTCAGTCTATTGATCATTATGTCCCTCCTGTGGGAAAAAACTGGAAATTTCCTGCACACAATTATCAATTTTAGGAAACATCACTTCCAAAAAATAAGCATTATGACAATTCAATTAAGTAGTAAGGTACAATTAAATGCTATAAAAAGTAACACAGCACATTGTCAAATGGAAATAAACCTAGGGGAAGTAACAAATATGCAAATTAATTTACCCAATCGGCCATTTTGAATGGTACTTCCTATGTAAACAAATAATTTTCAATCCCAAATTTTAACATATGTGGGCAAATATCTGAATATTTTCATTCCAAATTTCAAAAAAATTTCAGACTAGAGGATATAGTCTACAGTGCTGATATATAATAATATAGGGTGCGTTTTCAAACTAAACAGAGTGTTCCTACCAAAGTGAATTTGCCTACATACCCCTGAAACTCTTATCTGAAAGATAGAATGCACAAATAAAACAAAAGTTTTGCTATTATAGGTAAAAAGTTCTCTTGAAATTTTGAAGTGATTTTACCTGTTAATTCTGACCATGGTCCGCCATTTTTGCGGAAGTTACACTGAAACGCAAACTCCATGAAACGAAACGAAATCACTAGCAAAAAAACATGGCACACATTGTGCGCATGTGCAGCAAAGTTTAGACCAATTAGATTATTTTATTATTTTGCGCACGTGAACTGTTTGCTTCTGAGCACTTACAAGCTTACCACAATAAACAAACCTGGCAGAGACTACCCTAAGCCTACTTCATTTTGGCGAAATTTCAGCTCAAACTCGTGACAAATGCATTATGCATACGCTGGTGTGAAGCCTTGGAGACACTCATTTTGGTAAATATGATTTATGGGGTATACTTTTCTGCAGTTTGTGGGAGTTTGGGACATTAAATGTTAAAATTCAAGAAAATATGCCAATTAAACGACTGATCAATTAATATATCCCAGGACTGTAGGTTCAACCTGAAGGGGTTTTGCTATGAACAATTAAATGTTGACATACACCTTGATCATGTTCAATATCCATCATCCCATAGAACTGATAAGCATTATGGCCAATACACCAGGCGGTTTTTACAATCGGTCTGCATGTGTACTTACAACTTTACATGTGTATACATGTACAGTACAGTGTATTCAACTAACTAATGATAATAACGAGGCAATGCCCCAACTACACTGTTAATAACAGTACATTACATTTTTGTGAAAAACAGGATTGGTCAATTGCCTTTCAAACGAAATGACTGACATACCTTGCAAGTGATACAATAGGCCTTCTCGCCAACTCTATGTGATACAGCATCATCGTCGTCTATATTCTCCCAGATTCGTACGTCGCCATCAGCACCGCAAGTCAGAACTTTGCTATATATATCAGAAGAAAATTGCAACTTTGAGACAAAATTTGAGACTGGTAATCAAATGAGTGAGGTGTTCTCTAGGGTCTTCATACCCAACGCAGGCCTGTCAACTGTCCCGCAATTTGCGTATTTGTCACGCATTTGCTGAAGAATTTGAAGTCACGCCAGTTATTTTTGCGTGACAGAAAATGTCACGCAAATACGCATTTTACCTGGTAATTTACAAGCAAAAATGTTTCTGTAGAAAAATTTCTAAAAAAGATCGTCTACACAGCAAAAATATGAACGCCGGAAAAAAATGTACGCATTTCGTTCGGACTTTTCACGCGAATTACGTATATGTCACGCATTCCGTTCGAAATTTTTCGTACCTTCCCCCCCCCCCCCCCCCCGTTGATGGATGTTTGAAACGCGAGCGTAGGGAGCGCAAAAAATTTGAGGTGTTCAAAATTTGGCAAGATGTAATAAAATTTAAACCAAGGTGTTCAAAATTTGGATCAAGGTGTTCAGATTTGGACCAAGGTGTCCACATTTTGAGGGGAGGTGTTCAACATTTCCAAGTCACTCATGTTAGGTGTTCCCAAGTTGACAGGCCTGCCAACGTTTATCTATTATGGTTCAAACTGCAAACTGCCAACTGTCGAATGAAGAATAAACTTCCACTTACACTTATGTGAAAGATGGTTGCGGAGAAGAAAGTTATATCATCTGACATCAATTGCTAGCCTAGGCATAATAGGCTCTAGACTAGATCTATGCAGAAAATGAAATTGAAATTGATTTTTGAAAATCAATTCAACAAATTGAAATTGAAGATGCCCACCAATAATCACAGGAACTATGCTTACCTCCCAATTTCGTCAAAACATATATCAGTGTGACCCTCATTGTGGGCATATCGTGATGTGTCGATCTGTTTCGGCATTGAGAAAAATCAACAATTGTTTCCCAAAGAAGTAGAAAATATTTCCCGCACAAATTTTCCCGCCATAAATTACTCGGAGTGAAGAAACTTCCGGTATGTTTAGATTAATAACTCAAAATAAAATAAAAAAAATAAAAATTCGTGTATACCAATTAATAATAAGTAAGCTTCTATCTAGGTGTTTCTATTTACAAACTATTTAGACATGCAAATGTGGAAGTAAATATGAGATGACGTCACGAAAAAAATGTCACGAAAGTTCGGATGACCATATTCCTTCCATTTTACATGATTTATACGTCGAATCGGAACTTTACACATTAACAATATAACAACTGGATAACATTCTACTGGGCTGATATTATTTTATTCGGATATATAGTCTAATTACTACAGTAACGGAGTTAAAAGGCGTACCGGAAGTTCGAAAATTTTAATTTATGCAAGAATTTACTCTGTGAAGTCAACAACTGTTGAATAGGATACATTCGATACAGTTTATTTGATTAAAAGTGATTCATTGAAAAACTAACATAGTTAAAACTGTTAAACATTCACACGCAAGTAATGGCAGAAGGAGGTCCTTCAGATTCAGTGCTAGATGATGCTGATAGTGACGATGAAAGTGTGAACACATTCAACTGTATAAATTCAACTCCTGGAAGAAGTTCCTATGGCAAAAGTCAAAACCCAAAACAATCGACTCCTCAAACTAAAAAGAAAAAAACTGATAAAAATGTATCTAAGAAACAAAAACAATCAACATGGTCATGGAAATTTAAAAATCGATTACCTTTACCAGGAAATGGGAAAAAATTATCTCGCCCGAGTGACCAACTGAGCCCTGAAATATCACCTGGTGATATGGGTGCTACATCTGGCCCTAGGAATGAGCCAGGTGCAAGTGGTTGTGTATGTACAGGTTACCGGCACAATGTAAGTTCATCTGTTGTTCTTGGTGCCACTGGTTCTGGATGCGCTAGTGAACAAGACCGCTTCTTTGCCATGAGAGATGAACTGATGCAGATTGTTCCTACACCAGTCATAGATTTTGCCCGCTTTAATCCTGATGATTTTCCCACATTTGATATTGATCAAGTTCATATCGAACAAAGGCGGAGAGAAATGGAAGAAGGTGTTGATTATGGGACAAGCTCTAATCCACAACATAATCAGTTTCCATTGCGAAGATTTGCTGCTAATGAGCCAAGAATGGGTGGAATGGGCATGAGTCAACATGAACATCGTCGTAGAAGTTCATTTGATGAGCTGAGTAGTATTTTACAAACTGAATGCTCCATTTCACCCACAAACAATAGAAACCGTTCAACGTTTGGAATGGGTGCCCCTGCATTACCCAGAAGTGAATCATATAATGAGACTAGTAGAAATGAATATGGAATGGCCCAGCAGATTCCCAGAACTGTTCATACACAAGTAGACTTTATTCACTGCTTGGTGCCAGAACTAAATGACATTGCCGCCTGTAGTTTCTATTGGGGTGTCATGGATCGTTATGAAGCTGAAAAACTTTTGGATAATAAGCCAGAAGGATCATTTTTGCTGCGTGATAGTGCCCAAGAGGAATTTCTTTTCTCAGTGAGTTTCCGTCGATATGGTCGATCTCTTCACGCTCGTATAGAACAATGGAATCATCAATTCAGCTTTGATTCGCATGACCCTGGAGTATTTTGTGCGGGTACAGTGAGTGGCTTGATAAAGCACTATAAAGACCCAAGCTGTTGTATGTTTTTTGAACCAATGCTTACCATCCCCCAGCATAGATCATTTGCTTTCTCCCTCCAACACTTGTGTCGGGCAACCATTAGTTCAAATACAACTTATGATGGGATTGATTGGTTACCTCTACCACAAAAACTCAAAGAATACCTGAAGTACTATCACTATAAGCAGAAAGTACGAGTGAGGAGATTTGAAACAGCAAACTCTCAACATGTTTATCCTGCAAAATTTGAAGTTAATTAGACAACACCATGAACAGATGAATAAAGGGTTTACTTATAAATGATTTTTGGAGAAAAAACTGTGATAAAGTATTTTCATAATTATAGTTTAAGTAACCAGGTCAATGAATTGAAATGAATTAAAAGTAATTGTTTACATTTGAACTGTTGGAAAGAATATGTGATAAAGTTATTAGTCTTGTCTCAAGACTGTGTGCCCCCCCCCCCTCCCTGTGTACTTAACCTTTCCAACTTGAAAGTGAAATATTATAGGGGGATATCCAGTCTTGAAGCAAGACTAGATAAAGTGACTGTTCATTGAGTTTTGAAAGAATGTGACTTTTAATTTGAAAAGGAAAATCAATAAATGTTTAATAACATTTATTTGGGAAAGGTCCGGAAGTGATCCAATCTGAAATGTTTTGTTTTTTTTATATTGAAGTCCATGTGCTTCTATAGTTTTAAGATATCAACCAATACTCCAAGAAGCACAAAGTCTACCGTTCTCCTCATATATGGTTGATGAAGGTTGTGCCACTAGGCCTATGTAAACTCATTCACGGATCAGAAATGGTAGGAGCAAGACTCAGATTTGTTCCCTTAAAACAGGAAAGGACGATTCTCGGTTTGGAGAACAGTCTCCTGGGCTAATAATTTTTTTCATGAAAAATAACAGAAATATTACCCAAATTAAACTATGAATATTCAAAAGAGGACATTTAAATCTACAAGATGTAAAAATAACAAATTGGTCTGAAGCAGGGATAACGCTCAATTAGACCGATTCAATGAAATACAAGTCTCGATTTGGGGAAAGAAGTTCATCAGTGTACTGCGCTAATATTTTATGGCGAAAAATCTAGAAGTATTACCCAAATTAAATTATGACTAATTCAAAAGAAGACATTCAAATCTATATTATGTAAAAAAATCAAATTTGTCCAAAGCAAGGATAATGCTCATTTAGATTGATGAACTTCGTTCTCCAAACCGAGAATCGTCCTTTCCAAGCTTTACTGTAAATGTAGAATTTCTATAGGCCTATGCACCACCATGATTAACCATGACATCTCAGCCATGTTATGTGTCTGTGAAACGGAAAGATGTGATGCGTATCTGAATGAATAGTCTACCTGAAATCAAAATCACTGGCTATGCCTGTTTATTCCAATGAATTCTTTAAAATGTTGCTCCTGAATGAAAAAGTTACATGTTGAAACAAGCATGATTGGCTCCTAGGGAGACAACACAATATTTTACAATATTTTCTGACATTATGACTATAGCCCAAAAAATTCGAATTATCTCGATCACTTCTTGAGTTTTTGAAATTTTTGAAATTTTTTGTAATAAGATTAAATCTTAACATTCAAATTCTGAAGTGAACAAAATGGCAGCTGTTTGAATTCGAATTTTGTAATTATGACATCTCCATATATGGCAGAATATCGAGTTGGAACCCTGGGAGCCAATCCTCCTTGATATTGAAACCTTGACAGTTTGCAGCCGTAGTGTACCCTGAATCCTAGAGATAAGTAGTAATAGCTACACTCTGAATAGGAAAGATATTTTTGTTTTATATTGATTAAGATGTTAATGACACCATAGGTAGCTGTCATGGCCTTGGTGCCCATAGCTAACTTTTTCCAAGGCTGGTTCAGTTTTTTATTTAAAAATCCCAAGGAGGGAAATTTTGGCCTAAAATCACTTGAAATGTGGTCAAAATGCTTTAAAAACTGCTAGAAGACTGCTAAAGAATTTTAAACTGGGGGTTCGCTTTTTAAAAGGGTTGAAGCTCCTGGACACCTGGAAGTTAATAACAGAATAAGACTACTGAACACATCTTTTAAACATGTTACTATGGTGACAGTACCATATTTTGGTACTTTCACTATGGTAACAGTACCAAGGTTTTGTGAGTGAGATATTATGTGAATCATATTTTTATAATTTTAGAGCATGTCCCTGTTTTGTTTTTAAAAGATATATCTATAATTTGTTTTACTTCAAATTGTTAGAGTTTTCTGCTTCAAAGTATAGTCTGTCTAAATACACTTTGTACAATATCATTTTAGAATTATGATAAATAAAACTTAGTTAAAATATGTAAAATTAGATTCCTGTGCTTTTTTGTCAACTAATGAGTAAAAAAATGTAAGTAAGACATTTAAAGCTGTTAAAAGTACAAATTGAAAGCACTAATAATGAGTGGAATTCCTGCTGTGTAGCCACATATTCCATAGGAAAAAGTAGGAACCATAGTGCCTATACAATTTGCACCAAACCCTATCACATTAGTTATTAAAAATCTTTTTTTACATGAAAAATGACAGCCATTTTGAATTGAGCAGCCATTTTGAAAATTAATTAATTAGTAATTCCATGTGTCCTTGACTCTTAAACTGTTACTGTTATGAAGGTGATGTTCAGTTTTGCAAAGGGGCATGGAACAGTTGGTGAAGTTCATCATGTTCATTGAGGATCGATTTTATCTCCAGTTCTAGACTTTGCTCATCAACAATCATTACCTCTTTGATGTTATCAAACTGTTCTACAAAGCCCTAATATTTTTTTTAATTCAAATTCAAAAAGTTGCCTACAAGACTAAGTCTTGTCTTGTCATTTTGGACCATGGAATCAAAATGTTCATGTCCTTTGAGTCATTCCAATTTCTCTGTAGATCGTATTGCATCTCCTTCATGAACAATCTCCCTAATGGCACAATTTTCTCTGTTGCCGCTAGGAGACCCAAAATTCTTTTCCAGAATTTTGCTGTTTGTAAAGACCATTTGTTCAAAAAATTGGAATTTATTTAAAATAAGATACTAGTTTGAGTTGTCACATATACACACTACTATACCTTGCATTAGGTGTTCATGAGCAACCCATTTGGCTAATTAGTAATGATTATGTATTTGTTTTTATTTGTCTGTTCCTTATGAATGGTTTATCGGTTGAAAATTAGATGCTAGTAAGGCACTTTCAAAAATATATTAAACAATTCAATTAGACAAACAAAGTATCTTATGCATTTCTAGGTGTTAGGTATAGTAGTGTGATATATCGATTAATATTAGCAATTCTTTACACCGATGCATAGCGTATACTGTTTAATTTCTAAAATCTATTTTGCTGAAAGATTAACAAGATTGCTTTATAAAAATAAGAGAAACGAAGTTTCAAGAAATGTTCAGGTCCGTGTTTGGGCCTACCTCTGTTATTTAAAGGAAGAGACAATGTTAAAGATCGATAAATTGATTTGTCCATTGCAAAGGCCTTTTTATGACTCTCAATATATTCTCAATCTGGCAAAGTATTTATAAATGGGTTGACCCCCGTAACAATACGACAATAGGCTTAGACCTACTGAAATGGGCTTGTAATTCCCCAATATTTACATATTGTTAGGTACCCAAATCGTGTACAATGGTCTAAGATATACATACGTTTAAATCTCACGGAACTGAACTGAACTGCTAGCTACAGAATGGTACAAAAATAAATCAAGGCTGTACTTGGTAGAATCATGGGCTTTCAAGTTGAAAGCCCATAGTAGAATGATTGAATTACTTAACACAACCGTCCTGACAAAGTTTAGGACATATCTTATCTACTTATATTGGGGAATTATGATCATGGAACAATATCATATTTGACACAAGTTGATGTTTTAAACTTCAAGTAAGTATCATAGTCTGACATTAAATAAGTGAAATCACTTGATATAAGGTTAAATCGAAGAATGAAAACAGATCGAATATGTGAAAATATAAACCGATTTACAGCGATTTCCAACTAATTTTCACCAGTGTATATGGTCTCGGAAATCATAATGCTAGAAGTATCTTAACAACGTTTTTAAGATCTGGGAGGTTAAAGTTAGATTAGTGTACAATTCTCAACCCATCAGCATCATCTATTGGTTAACTCCTCTATTAGGTCAACTTGCAAGATTGTATACTTCAACTTAAACCTTGGAAGTACTCCGATCTCGGACGGTTAATAGTACTTTCAATGTTTACAGCACCGGCATACAATTTTGCCAGTTGACCTCAAGAGAGAGGTTTACACTTTGGTACAGTATTCCTCAAACTTCATCTCATCGCCTTCTCATAACTTTTGTTATATTTCAGTATGGGACTATGTTGCAGTCAAAATCAAAATGGCGTACATCATATTGACTCCGGTACCAATGCTACAACGTACTCAACCCAGGTGACGGTAACGCACGATAGTTCAATCCTGGACGATAGTTCAACCCCGGGAAGTACACACAATCAGAACAGGACAAATACCAGTTCAGGGCATCGGACTAAGAGGAAAAAGATTAAAATAAACGTTACAGTTGAGCATCATTCTAATCGGTTCACAGTTCACTCTGATGGACCTATTGACAGTATAGATATTGAGCACATTGAGAAGCAATATAATGCAAGGCTTGTGGGACAACGACACTATCGAGAACAATCGCCGCACAATCAAGTACAATCGCAGAACAATCGAGCACAATCGCTACACAATCAAATACAATTACCATATCAACCTCAATCGCAAATATAGTACACGTTCAACAACAAAATTACGAACAACCTGGACGATCGGCATGGCAAGTCCCGATACATGGCTCATATTCAAACCCGTCCGCTCCACCACAGCAACATTATGATGGTCGAGAGTATGAATTACCACCTTCATAGATTTATGATTTAGATTTATGAACTTTATTACACATTCATACCCATAAAAGGTTAAGTGTACACAAAGTAAACACTAATTTTACAATATATCAATACAACAGAAAACAGTATATATAACAACACACAAAATTAACACTTCATAATAAATAAATAAGTAAATAAATGAACAAATAAATATGCATCATGGATAAGCACATGAATGGTGATTGTGATACGCGTCCATTGTTTATGTCATATATCACACCCTTCTATGTTATATTACATTTATGAATAAATTCTGCTACAATTTCAATTTCTTTATTTTCACAAGACATACAATATTGGAAAAAAAGTGAATCGTCCTCCATGTTGAAAAGGTGTTTAATTGGGTTGCCGTGTGATACAAGTTTATCGAGCATTTTCTTTCTATATATACTGTATTTTTTACATGAACGCATTATGTGTTTTTCGTTTTCTATTAAATTGCAAACCTCGCAAATTCTTTCATCGATCTTTAATTTTGGGCGTTCGTATCTACCCGTTTCTATTTTTAATTTGTGGTTACTGATACGAAACTTTGTTAGACTTCGTCGTAAATGCCCATTTGAAATTGAATCTAAATATGGTTCGAACCTGAAATTGCTTTTAAATATTTTGTATGTATTCAGTTTGCGACATTGGTCGGAATTCAATTGATTTCGCCAATAATCTTCAAAACTAATTTTTGATTTACAAACAACTTCGGATGCGTCAATAGTATATTCTTTTACATCTAAAGTATTATTGATATTGCTGGGAGTATTTCCTGAAAATGATACTACCTCTAATTTATCCATTACACTTTTAAAATTCAGCATCCACGATGACTTGTTGATCTTTGATAAGTCATTTGATGTAGTAAGTGCTTCTGATAATAAGATGTATGACGTATTTAACATGTGATTATAGAAATTAGTAGCTTGTTTGAATATATTTATATATAGTGGGTATTTCCCAAGCTCTCCATAAATTGCTAAATTTGTTGATTTTTTATTTACTTTAAGAATATATTTACAAAAAGATAACAGAAGTTTCTCAGATGGAAATCGTCTGCCATTTGTAAACCATTCATTCAAATCTTTTGTAGAAAAGTAATTCGACATGCCCCATATTTCAGATCCATATAAGATTATTGGAACTACCAATTGTTCAAAAATCTTTATTCCTATTGAAGGTTTTAAACTTGTATCGCCTAGTGACCTTTTTATTTTATAAATTGCCTTTAATCCTCGGTCATACAGATAGTCCTTGGATTTACTAAACGTACCTGAACTACTTATGGTCAAACCCAAGTATTTATATGATTTTACCGTCTCGATCTCATCCCCATCAAAATAAAAATTTTCTGTACATTTTCTACCATTTCCAATAAATTTCATTATTTTTGTTTTCGATAAATTAATTGACAAATGCCAGTCTTTACAATATTTTGAAAGATTATCTATAGACTTTTGAAGTCCATCTCTGCTCAAAGACAAAAGTAGAACATCATCAGCATACATCAAACAGTTTACTTTTGAACTTTGTAAAATTGGTGCGTCATTATAACCTATAACCGCTGGCAGATCATTTAAAAACAAATTGAATAGTGTGGGAGACATTGGATCCCCTTGTTTAACACCAGCATTCACTTTTCTAAATTCAGTCCTCTTATTTGAAATACTGTTTTTTATACATATTTTGGTATCTTGATACATTTTTCTAACGATTTCAAAAAACTTTCCTTTTATACCAACTGACAAAAGTTTATACATAAGACCTTCCCTCCAAACGCTGTCAAAAGCCTTTCTAAAGTCAATGAATATTCCATAAATAGGAGATTTTAAATGTTTAACATATTTATCATGAAGCGTTCTGATAATAAAGATATGATCCACTGTTCGTGCTTTCTTCTGAAATCCTATTTGAGCTTTATTCATAATATTATTATGATTTATGAAAACCTGCAATCGTGCATCCAATACTGAACTAAATATTTTTCCAAACACATTGTTAATTGTTATACCTCTATAATTTGATAATTTTCTAGGATCTCCGCTTTTAAAAATTGAAGTGATATATCCCTCTCCCCAACTTGCCGGATATTTTCCTGAATTTAATATTGTATTAAATATTATTTTCAAATATGGCAGTATTAATGATTTGGTACTTTTGACCATTTCATTCGAAATCATATCCAAACCAGATGCTTTATTATTTTTTAAGCCTTTAATTGCTGTCTCGATTTCTGATTGTTTAATCTCAAAATCTAACTCTGAAAAGAATGGTTCTTTTCGCATCTCCTCGATCCGAGAAGAAATCTCAACATTTGATATGTCGGTCGTGTTAAGTAATTTATTCAGTATATTCAGTTGGATTTGTAGAACTAGCGTTTTCAAGCTTTTCAATTAATTCCGCTTTATATTGATATTTAGCTTGTTTACATCGTTTTTTATAAACCTTTTTCACTTTAAAGAACATACCTCTTTTATAAGGATTTGTGGGATCATTTTGTAAACATTTGCCTAATTTTCGAACTTCAGAATGCAATTGCTTGCACGATAAATTATACCACTTTTTACATCGGTTTTGTTTATTTCCTTTCTTATGTCTGACGAACCTCTTTTCAAGCGTATTGGACGCAGCATTGTGCATACACTTAGTTAAGTTATTTAACATATCATCTACATTACTATTATGATCCATATCGTACAGGCTGCGTTTATTTGTAATCTCGATTTTCAATTGGTCGTGAAAATCTTTGCTTTTTTCTGAAGACCAGATATATCTCGGAGGTAATGGAGTTTGAGTATAGACTTTACTTTTCCTCGTTTTATGTTTGCAAATTCTGCTAAATTCAGAATTATATAACAAAGAAATGGCACAATGATCAGAAAGGTTTCCTTGAAAATCATGCACTTTAAATGTACATATGTTATGCATGATTTCCGATTGCGCCAGCGCTATATCAACCGTGCTACTTCCATTATATTTATGACATGTAAGACTACCTTCTAAATCACCAATTTTCCGCCCATTCACAATTCTCATTTGACAAGATTTACATAGTTCAAGCAGCTGTCGTCCTTGTGTGTTAATGATTTTGTCTTTATTAAAGCGATTAAGTAGATTTGAATCACAATCATTGTTATATTCCGGATAGACGGGGACGTATTTTTCATCATCTTCGACTATGAAATCATTTCCAATTCCAAATCTACTATTTAAATCTCCTAAAATAAGAACGTTCCCACATTTTGAATATTTTGCTATTTGTTCAGTAAGAATGTCAAATTTGTCAACAACCTGTCCCATAGACAATGATGAATTACTCGGATTGATATATACAACTGCTAAAAATAAATCATTTTCAAATCCAAAGAAATTTTTATCTAATCTTAACCATGCTATATCATCATGAGTTATTGGTTCCTCCTTAACACCATCTAAAACACATTCGCTGATTAAAAACGTAACACCACCTGTATTTTTCGTTGCATTGGCTGATTTTTCCCGAAAATTATTTATCAGCTGTTTGTACCCTGGAACGCATATCGCAGTATCACAATCACCATGAGTTTCTGTTAAGCCGATTATATCAAAGCCGTGTATAAACTTTACAAAATTCTCATCACAGTACTTATACATCTCTCTCTTCCTGTCAAAAAGTCCTTCGACATTCCAATGAGCTAGTCTTAGACTAGAAAGTAACATTTCGCTGATTAGTATCCGTATGAACAAATCTCAATATTTTACATGCGTAATCACAGTGAAATTAGACGCAAGTTAACCATATCCATTACAGCATACTTCAAATGGTTACAATTACATATTTTTGATTTTATGAATAAATGATACAATAATTATACAGCGATACTAAAATCCAATATTTTACGATTACACACTTTCAGTTCAACGAATATTGACTGTATTAATAAAGGCACTTGGTTATAGCATATTTAATATTGTTAAAGAGTCTCCTCTCTCCTTGCTCGGAAAGGTGAACCCTGTCTGGACTGAAGAATCGTGGAATGATACTACCGTCTGAAAACGACAGATTTGTATTATCGATAATTCTAATATCGTGGGATTTGTTATATCTGTTCCAAAAGTACTCATTTATGTACTCTGTTTTGCTGTTACGCTCTTCCGAATCTCCCCTATTTGGTGCTAGCGATATGAGTACTTTCGTTCCTGGAAATAGCTCTTTAGTGAGAGTTGTAAGACCATTCATTCGATTAATACACGCGTCGACGCTCAGAAATTTAAGATCATTCGAAACGACTTGAAAAACTATGCAGCTTGGACTTTCATTTGGGTGACATTTCTCTTTGATACCCAAAACAACATCCGACGCTTCTTCAATCGTATAAGCGGTATACTTATATGAATCAAACCTACTGCTTAGTTTTCCCGGCTGTAGATTTTTAATCAGTGACGAACCAATTATCAAAACACTATCGCGGTATTGACGATTTGAATTCCTATTCTCGACATTTCTGCGTATTCCTCTACGTGGAGTTGACCTACTGGAAACGCGTGGTACAAATGCGTTGGTTAGTTCTTCTTTTTTGCTCGTATCCGCTGATTCATTGGAAATAGGATTTGTTGAAGCATTTGTCCCCATTGTGACATCTGTTTGCAGATCAATCGAATCATTTAAATGGTTCGTAATCAGTTTTTCATTTTTCACGTCTATTTTTATTTGTAGATTTTTTATCTCGGATTTCATTTGTTTAGTCGTCTCCGTGAGTCCCATTAGCGCATCATTATTTTTGGACTCTATAGCCTGCATTCTAGCTTTTAACTCTTTGATTTCTTCATCCTTATTCTGTAACGATTCTTTCATCAACTTTATTTGTGAGT